AAGACGACTGCATCAATCGTACGGCTGCGGATGGCTTAATCATATCGAATCGCCATTGATTTGATTTGATTTGATTTGTACAGTTAGTCGCTAGCCAGTAAGTCCCCATCTTATCTGCGGCCTACATATCGGAGACAGAGACCCCGTCCACTCCCTCCCTACCCGCCTCCCCGATTCCGCACGCCGTTACCCCTCCGTGAGGCCCAGTCTCTCTCGCCACAGATAGTCAGCACATCAGATGGCGGCGGCCGGCCTCGCGCTCTCGCTCTCGCTGCGCCCCGCGCAGCCGTCGGCGCGCGTGCCGAGGAGGGCTCTCCCGCCGCCTCTGCCACCCCCGCAGGGGCGCCTCGCCGTCGGCTGCCGCGCGAGCGCGCTTGCCTCGCCGCCGCTGTCGCCCCTCGCGCGCCCCGGCGTCGCGTGCCGCGCCGCCACCGCCTTCCAGAAGCTCGACGCCGTCGGTGAGTCCTGTCCCTCCCCACTCCCGCCCGGCCCGTGCTGCGCGCGGGCAGCACATTCCGCCTGCTCCGGAACCTCGCGGCGCTGATTATCTTTGGCCTTGCGCGACTGACTGACTGACTGAATGCGGCAGCGGTGCGGGAGGAGGAGGAGGCCTTCAGGTCGGGGGCGGCGGCGGGGCACACGCTGCTGCCCCTCCAGCGCTGCATCTTCTCCGACCACCTCACGCCGGTGCTCGCCTACCGCTGCCTCGTCCGGGAGGACGACCGCGAGGCGCCCAGCTTCCTCTTCGAGTCCGTGGAGCAGGCCTCCGAGGGCACCAATGTGGTTCGTCCCTGCCTCACGATTGGCTGCTTCATTATCCATTCATATCCTCCCCAAGATAAAATCAGTATCATTTGAATCTGTCTCGTGCCGGCTTGTTGGTTGGTCTGCAATCTGCAATCTGCACTCTGCAGGGGAGGTACAGTGTGGTGGGGGCGCAGCCGGCCATGGAGATCGTGGCCAAGGCCAACCAGGTGACGGTCATGGACCACGAGATGAGGACCAAGGAGGAGCAGTACGCGGCTGACCCCATGACCGTCCCAAGGGACATCATGGCGCAGTGGAATCCGCAGATTACAGTTGATGGCCTGCCTGATGCCTTCTGTGGTAAGACTTATACAGTATATGTGTGTCACTTTCATCACCTTAATGCTGTACATATGCTGCCATGTAGTGGGGCATGCAGTTAGTACTTGCTAATTAAGCATATACCATGGTCCTTTTTGGCCATGCCACATTGGGTTGAACGGGTCCACTGTGGATGCCCTTTTCATCTACAGAGAGTGTGATCTTCAGCCTTTGTTGAGCGCTGGTTATGTTTTCTAGAAGAATGTTAATTGTATTTGAAAACTATGTAGGAGGATGGGTTGGATTCTTCTCATATGATACGGTGCGTTATGTTGAGACAAAGAAGCTTCCGTTTTCTAAGGCGCCAGAGGATGATAGGAACCTTCCTGACATTCATTTAGGCCTCTACAATGACGTGGTCGTGTTTGATCATGTTGAAAAGGTATGGATAATTATGGAACACTTTTATGCATTTTCTCTAATTCAGACGACCGTATGTCGCTTGATTTCTATACAAATTGAGCTCATTTAAAGTATATCTCAAATCAGCTAATTTATTCAGATATTTCAAGACATTTACCTTATATTATGTGTTTTGTTCGATGCAGAAAACACATGTTATTCATTGGGTGAGATTGGACTGCTATCACTCAATTGATGAAGCATATGAAGATGGGAAAAATCGGTTGGAAGCTCTGTTATCAAGATTGCATAGCAGTAATGTGTGAGTTTTAAAGTTTGGCCAACTCTCTTTTATATGCCTTAGTTTTATTCTTCTAATTTTTCTATTCCCCACTGATCTAGTTCAATGAAATATTGATGTAGCCCAACCCTTTCTGCTGGTTCCATTAAGCTTAACGTTGGGCAATTCGGCTCAGCACTACAGAAATCAACAATGTCTAGCGAGGACTACAAGAAGTCTGTTGTGCAAGCAAAAGAACACATTCTAGCAGGTGATATTTTTCAAGTAGTACTAAGCCAACGTTTTGAGAGACGTACATTCGCCGACCCTTTTGAGGTGTATCGCGCATTGCGTATTGTCAATCCTAGCCCTTATATGGCCTATCTACAGGTAATCTGAATACTTGCAGTATTCTAAGCAAGAAAAGTCATGATCGTGCCACATAATAATCAGTAAGGTTAATCTCCTGTAACATTATTGCAGGCACGAGGTTGTATTCTCGTAGCATCAAGTCCTGAGATTCTTACTCGGGTCGCAAAGGTAAGCCAAAATAGGGAGTTTTATCTTTCGCATCTTTAGTTATGGGCTTGCTTCCAAACCTTGTTTGTAACTGCAATATGTAGTGGAAGTTAACTTTTCGTATCGTATGTGCTATCTATTTGCTTTACAAGATGGAGACAATTTTATAGTTATCATTTTGTTGTCGTGTGCTAATAATTCAAGAAAGTTATTGCGGAACTCTTTGATATTTGCATGCCCACAATCTTCTAGAAAAGTTGTAGGTGCCAAATGAATAACATGATCTGTTATTTTCCCTTTTCTCAGAGGACAGTTGTCAATCGACCTCTTGCTGGAACAATCAGGAGAGGAAAAACAAAAGATGAAGACAAGGTTCTAGAACAGCTCCTGTTGAGTGACGAAAAACAACGTGCCGAGCACATTATGCTGGTAGATCTTGGTCGGAATGATGTTGGAAAGGTTTGTCTGTCACCCATTTGTTTTATAGTTTCCATTCAATTCAATCTCTAATACATTTCACAATTTGCCAAATAAAGGTTGGTAAGGTACCCATGTGCCATCAAGTTCCTCCTGGCCACCATTTAATCTGGCTGGCAACTATTGACATCCATTTCTGTTTTGTTAGTGGCGCATTAGTGATAATAAAATCTCTACTTAGTTAGATCCAGTGGAATTTTATCCTAATTTCAACCAATCTTGTTTGATCAAAAACAGTTGGCTGTTTTGGTACACTTTTGACTTCATCTAGTTTGAGTTGTGTTCAACTTCACCATTTTTCCCAGGTGTCCAAACCAGGAACAGTAAAGGTGGAGAAATTGATGAATATTGAGCGATATTCGCATGTCATGCACATTAGCTCGACGGTAAGTCAGTCTAATTCTTCAGACAAACAACTTCAAATAGTCATTTGATGCAATATCATACTAATATACACAATCAACATTGTATATGTTTTTCTGTATTTTCTTGGAAGTAAATCTAACGATATCCATCTATTTTTGCTGAAATTGTGTTAACAATTCTCATAATGTGTGGGTCTACTTCTGTAGGTTACTGGGGAGCTGCGTGACGAACTTACATGTTGGGATGCCCTGCGAGCTGCATTGCCTGTTGGAACCGTCAGTGGTGCTCCCAAGGTAAGTGCATGCTTGCTGCTATCACATCATCACCTAGATGCATTGAAACTGAAAAACTGTTTTGGAAAGAACAACGGCTATGCCAAACGGAGTATAGATAAGTGTCAAATCAATCATATTTCTGAGTTCCAGAAAGCTGTTGTTCAAATTCAATGCCTCCATGATTCAACCCTGAATTCACTGAGCAAGCTCCCACATGCTTCCTTCTGAAACTCATCTCCCAGGTGAGAGCGATGGAGCTGATCGACGAGATGGAAGTGACGATGCGCGGGCCATACAGTGGTGGCTTTGGCCAGATCTCCTTCCGCGGTGACATGGACATCGCTCTCGCCCTGCGCACCATTGTCTTCCCGACGGCGTCCCGGTTCGACACCATGTACTCGTATGGCACAGACAGCAGCAACGCGCGCCAGGAGTGGGTGGCGCACATCCAGACCGGCGCCGGGATCGTCGCCGACAGTAAGCCGGACGATGAGCAGCAGGAGTGCCAGAACAAGGCCGCCGGGCTCGCTCGCGCAATCGATCTCGCCGAGTCGACGTTCCTGGACTTGTCCGACGCATAGGACCAGATTGGCGTCCACATTCTCTCTTTTGAAGTCTGTAGCAGAAACCTTCGGAGTGTGTTTGATGTGGGTTCTTTGCTTCACCGAATAAACAGTTGTAGCTAGTGGAATAAGTTCAGTCAATAAAATGTACAGCAGACTGGACATTTACCAGCTAAGGTGGGTATGAGATTACAGCCATAGCTGATGTAATTTGTTTCAACTGAAATCTGGGAGAATGATGCGTTACTATAGTAAGTAGTGGGTGATGCTTAAAGATGCAAGTCATTTAGGTTGTGTAGTTCTGTTCATCTCATCTCCAGCTCATCACTCACTGAAGTTGTCAACTTTCACCTTTGTTTTTCTGCCATTTTACAATGATTTTGTGATACTTATTTATATTGAACACTTGTTCGGTAATGATTAAATTTATACAGTGCTCTAATCATGTCAGTTTTTATGTTAAAATTACATGTTGGAGGTGCTAATAGTGCTACAACCGATAAAACCTTCCACAGGGGTACAAGATTAGCCAGATAAGTATTCCCTCTATCCCAAAATAAGTGTCACTGTATTAACACAAGTTTGAACCGCAAAAAACAAAATAAAAATTAGTACAACTTCAGTGACACTTATTTTGGGATGCAGAGAGTATTATATAACTATAATGAACCCTGCTGTGTAAACCAATGGATTGAGTTGGTACCCTGCAAAATCATCCATGGTCTGGTATGTTCAGAAACCTCATAAATGAAAAGAACAAGCAAACATCAGGGGACTGCACAAAATTGTCCACGTTGTACAAGTACAAATAATCAACCAGACTAGAATAGCAACGGCAGCACGTGCCCTGAAAACCCAAGTTTTATCTCTGATTTCCTGTACCGTTCTTCCCCTCTTCGTTGCCTCTTCTCTCGTAACGGCCACCAGAATCTCTGTCGTGCCTAGACCGCTTGCTCTCTGATCTATCTTCTCTTCCCCTGTCATCGCCCCTCTGCTTGTCGCCTCTTGGTCTCTCGGGCGATTTCTCGTACCCGTTCCTATCTCTATCTTTTATGTCCGATCTTTCTTCTCTTCCCCTGTCATCGCCTCTCTGTCTGTCGCCTCTTGATCTCTCGGGGGATTTCTCGTGCCTGGTCCTGTCACTATGTTTTGTGTCTCCATCACCATGTCTCTGACCTGGAATCTCGGTCCCTGTACAACTCTGATCTTGAGGAAACCCCCTGATCTCGCCTCTTCTTTATTCCTGTCAGCGAAATTTTTGTGGCTCTTTGGTGGATCATGGTCATGCTGCCGCCTTGCATTGCTGTCCTCCCTAGAACCTCGATCAGTGTTTGCATTCCTCTGAAAATATAATTCACAAACATCAGCATTAGTTGCCAAGCAATGGCTTTTTACTGGAATGACTGCACAACGTTACTGATGAACTATACCACCAAGTATAAAGGACACATATTCCCAGCCAGGCAACAATAGAAAATGCGCACCATAACCATAAATTGGTGAGTTATTGTTACATTCAGAGAAGCATGTAGCATGCTGCAAAAATATCATTAATCCTGCCCAAAGCAACAATCTCTAGGATACAGTCATATCTAGCGCAATGCAATAAAAAAATGTGCTAGTGTTTCCAACAACAAATGTTAAAACATCTGACAATGTGAGAATGTTACTCCGAATCAACATATCTGTTACGGAGTTCATGAAATATATTTTGCAAGTAATGACTCATCCAAGTGAAGTATAGACATGACCAGAGCAATATAAAGGCCTTACTGTGATAAGCAGTTAAGCACAAGTTTTCAGCATATCACCTTGAGAAAATATCAGTATATAAATAATCTAAAGGAACATCATGGCGAAATGATAAACAACTCATTTTCTATTAATAACTAAACTGGCAATATAACTTGTTCATACCCGAAAAAACTTCTCGTGGAAATTAACACAAGCTAGTAGTCTATATAATTACTTGGTGAATGCACAAGCAGGACAGTTACCTGCTCATCATGCGAAAATCTGCAGGAAGCTCCGCGACTGCATTCGCCTTTCTGGAAAGCATATCAGACGCCACAGCCCTGGGCAGCTACCTGCTCATCATGTGAAAATCTGCAGGAATCTCCCTGACTGCATTCGCCTTTCTGGAAAGCATAGCAGATGCCACGGGATTCCCCCTTATTTTGTGGACCACGGTGCCTATCATGCTCCCATTTTGGGTCATCCTCCTTAGAACCCCAACCAGTGTTTGCATTTCTCTGAAATATAACCACGAATACCAGAATTAGTAGGCAATCATGACGGTTCAGTGGTAGTACTTAAGAAGGTTACTGATAAACTATAAGGCCTAGTACCAAGGGCAAATGTTTCCAGCCAAGTAACATTAAAATAACACATTCACAATCCAATAAGCAAACAATATATAGCATGTAACCAAACCTAGAACAAGTCAATAAATGCATAAATGGAGCCTTTATTTGCAACGATTACTGTTCATTCCCCCCATTCTTTCATAGAATTCGACAACATATAATTTGGAAGGTAATAGGCCATTTGACTGAAGTAAAATGATGACCACAACAAAAGTAGGCCTTACTGTGCAAGTACAAGTTTCCAGCATATCTTCATCTTGAAAAACGTAGGTGTAAATTATACCACAGACCGTTATTTCACAGATCATTGGAATGAAATGTCAGGAACTAATTTTGTACCTAATAATTGATCTGGTTATCCTTTCCTCATCCTGTAGTGGAAAAACCTCACTCGTGCAAATTACTATGAGGCAGGTTCTGAATTGCTTGTGTGCATTCCTAATGAATAATCAAATAATAACTTGGGCGGTTGGACCAATGCAGTGAAATATTGCTACAAGCCAGGTAGTTAATTGCTTGTTAGAATTCCTAATGAATAATCAACTGGCTAGAAACTAATTTTCTACCTAATGATTTGGCAATATCCTTCGCGCTCACCCTATAGTTAGAAAACATCTCCGGTGAAAATCACTATGAGCACGATGGTTAATAGGTTGTGTGTATTCCTAGCAAAAATTGAATAAAAATTGGAAAATTGCAGAGGCGGCATAGATACCTGTTCATCATGGGAATATTTGCACGCATTGCCGCGGTTGCACTCGCCTTTCTGGAAAGCATAGCACACGCCGCGCTCCTCCCTCTTCTTCTGCAGCTCCTTCTCGTCCTTCTCTTCCTTCTTCTTGTACTTCTCCACATGGTCAACCCTGATAATCCTCCCAAGAACCTTAGCTCCATTCAAGTTATCTACGCGGCCGCACGAAGACGAAGCGGAACAAATATTAGCACTTCAGCAAAGCACCAACTGGAATCACAGACAGAAGCGACCTAGTAGGAAAGGGGAAAGGGGCCTCACCGACGGCAAGAACCGTGCACCTCTGGTCCTCATAGGCGACGAACGCGAGGCCCTTGGACTTGCCGGTGGCCTTGTCGCGCACGAGGTTCACGTCGACCACCTCGCCGTACCTGAGAGAGGAGATCGGAAGCCGGTCAGAACACTTCCCTGCGAAATCCGTCGGGAGCGGGGAACGAGCGGAAAAGGTAGGTCGGGGGGTGCGGGTCTGATACTCACTGGGCGAAGACGGCGAGGAGGTCGCCCTCGGTGAGGTCGAAGGGGACGCCGCCGACGAAGACGTAGGCGGAGCCCCTGAACTTGGCGTGCCAGGAGGCGTCCTCGCTGAGGCCCAGCGCCGCCTCCTTCTGGTTTATCACCTGCGTCCGCTTCACCTGCGTCAGGGGATTCATCTTCCCCGACTCGCCGCCGCCGCCGCCGCCGAGGTGGGTCGGGTCCCTCCCCTACCTAGAGGGAACAAGCGGTGCTCGGGCGGAATTTCTCGAAGGGGCGGCGGATTGGGAGATTTGGAGGGGAAGAAGGTGGGGATTTTTTTGGGGGGTTAGGGTTCTTGGCTAGTCCAACAGCCTAGGGTCGGTCCTAGGGTGCAATCTCCACCGTAGATTTTAGATCTAACGTCGGTGGTGATGCCACCCTTTCCAGTCTACACTAACCAAAGGGGGAACGAGAATTTCGAACGTTCCATAACCCAAGGGGGGGAAAAGACTAGTACAAGAGATCACCACATATGTACTTTCTCCGTTTCTAAATATTTATTTTTTTAAAGATTTCACATGGACTGCCACATACTTTTTTTTTTTGCAGGTAGAAGACTTGTATTACTCAGAATCCAGCAAATTACAATCATCGAGGGCTAGCTCTACAGCTACTGAAGGTCCCAGAACCAAACCAAGTCATAATCCTACCTTCAGTTCTCGCAAAGGAAGCTAGGCTATCGTTAACCTTATTCTGAGAACGACTAGCATAAGTAATACAAGATCTACGAAGATTCAAAAGGTACTGAATCTCTCTTACGATGGCTGAGTATAAGGATCTATCCATCCCTTGCGCCTGAATAATCTTCACAGCAACCATAGAATCCAATTCCACCAGAATTGGTAGCTCAGTGCGTTGTATCGCCAAAGAAACCCCTTCCATGCACGCACAAAGCTCAGCTTCCAACACATCTCTACAAGAGAAAAGTGCTCGACATGCTGAAAAAATAATAGCACCCTTGTCATCCCTAAGGACCATGCCAGCACCGGCCCTGCCATTTTCATCAACCGACCTGTCCGTGTTTAACTTGACCCACCCAGCATCCGGTAGTTTCCATCGACCACTGCGCGAGGGTTCTCTGGTGTTCACCAATAGCGCAGCAACATGGCTCTTCCCCTTCCCTTGATAATTGCATACACCAGATTTCAGTCCCAATAGTGAATCTAGATAGCTAACAAGGAACCTCTTCGAAGACTCTACTGGTGGTGGGGGTTTATGATGGGTCACCTCATTCCGGACAAACCAAGCACGCCACAAGGTCATCAGAAGCATGGATCGATCAACATACGATAGAGGATCTAGTGCATGCAGCAACCACTCTTTCCCCGTATGCTCTATCATATCGATATCTGGCAATGACCATACTTCCATCATCGAATGCCATAAATCCTGGCCAAGAGGGCAGCGAACAAAAGGGTGAAAATTATCCTCAGCTTCTATAGCACAGAGCGAGCAGAGATCCGAGGTTTCCAGCCCACGTTTGTGCTTGTTCTTCCACGTTGGCAAAGAATCCACTGCCACCCTCCACGCGAAGTTACGGACCGAAGGTGGAATATCACATTTCCAAATCAGCTGCCACACTTTCCTTCTGCCATCAGGTGCCCCACTGGAGGACGATTCTACAGATCGGTAAGCCTCATCAAATGCAAAGTTGTAGGCACTTTTTTACAGAAAATCTACCTTGTTTCCCCGGCCCCCAAGCAATGATATCTTCCTCCTGTCTCGGAGATGCTCTAATTTTCAGTATTTCTCCAACATCAACAGGGTGGAAGTATTGTTGTAGTAATGCCAAATTCCATGAGCCATTAGGATTAAGCAAACCTTCCACAAACCTGATTCTGCATGTACCATGTATGGTTATCGGTTTGAAGCTGAAAGGTCTGGGGATCCAGTTGTCGCGCCAAATTCTGATGCTTCGGCCATCACCAACTCTCCAAAGGATCCCCTTCTTCAGCAGGTCCAAACCATGGCTGATCGCTTGCCATGATGAAGATGCATTCCCATTAAACATTGTATCCTCCAGTTTACCATATGGGTAATATCTGGCCTTCAACACCTGGGCGCAAAGTGATTGTGGTCTGGTGATGAGACGCCAGGCCTGTCGAGCTAACAGGGCCTGGTTAAACAGTTGGAAATCCCTAAAGCCCACTCCTCCTTTACTCTTCGGTTGCATCAGACTATCCCATGATCGCCAATGAACCTTTCTCTTCCCTTGGTCGAGCCCCAATAGTAGCTCCTGACCATTCTTGTGAGCTCGTCACAAACAGAAAATGGAAGTTTAAAAACTCCCATGATATACATGGGTAGGGCTTGCGCTACTGATTTAATGAGGACCTCCCTTCCGGGCTGCGCCAAGAGTCCATCCCCCCACTGTAACATGCGTTTTGTTAAGCTCATCTGGAGGTTTTGAAACCTTCCTTTCGACATCCGTCCATCTGGTGTTGGGAGCCCCAAGTACTTTTCCTCAAATACCGCACTGGACACCTGTAACACCCCTCTGATCTCCTCTTGAACAGAAGTTGGGCATGCTTTCCCAAAAAGGATTGAGCATTTTTCATGATTCAAGCTTTGGCCGGTTGCTTTACTATATACTTCCAGCGCAGCCTTCACCTCTTCTGCTTGAATTTTTGAAGCTTCAAAGAACAATAGTGTATCATCCGCAAACAATAGGTGTGAGACACCAGGGGCCCGTCTGCACACTTTAAACGGGGTGATTACGCCAGCTGAAACCTTATGTTTAAGGATAGAAGATAAACCATCAGCCATGAATAAGAATAAAAAAGGTGAGAGAGAATCGCCTTGCCAAAGACCTCGCGTCGGTGCGAATGAATCCAAGAGGGTTCCATTTAATCTGACAGAGTAACTCACAGATGTGACACATGACATTATCCAGTCCACCCATCTATGAGAGAATCCCAGCTTTTGCATCACTCGCTTCAAGAACGACCAATCCACACGATCATACACTTTTGAGAGATCAAGTTTATATGCACAAAAGCTCTTTGTAGGGTCCTTCTCTTGCTTAATATGGTGAATACACTCAAAGGCCACTAGTGCATTATATGTTATTAGCCGACCCGGTATAAAAGCACTTTGCTCATGGGAGATGATGACATCCAGCAAAGGTCTCAAACGATTAACCAAGCACTTCGAGATGACTTTGTATATTACATTACAAAGACTTATCGGCCTATAGTGTGTAAGCATTGTTGGGTTGGGAATTTTGGGTACGAGCACAATGGCCGTTGAGTTTACCCCTTCCGGGAGAATCCCGGTCTCGAAGAATTCCTTCACCACAACCACCACACCGTTCTTCAGCGTACTCCAATTATGCTGATAAAATCTAGCTGGGAATCCATCCGGACCGGGAGCTTTTAGAGGACCAATCTGAAACATCGCATCCTCAATCTCCTTCACAATTATCCTCCTCCGAAATCCTTGCTTCCAGCAGGTCTAGCACCTCTGACGCATCTAGATTCTGATCAGCAGCAAAAACACCTTTGAAATACTCTGTGGCCATGCTTGACATCTCAACAAAGTCTGTATGAATGTTTCCAATGCTATCCGTGAGACTTCTAATTTTATTTTTCCTTGCGCGCCACACCGCTTTACTCTAGAAATATTTGGTGTTGCGATCCCCTTCTTTGAGCCACGAGATTCTTGATCTTTGCATCCAGAGCATCTCTTCTTGGTAGATCAGCTTGTTCATTTTGTCCGTTATCCTCCTTATCTCCTGCCGATCCGCATTCATATGCATAAGTTCCTCAAGCTGTGATCTGGACTTAGCCAATTCTCTTGCAACATTACCAAACCGCTGATTGCTCCAAACACCAAGGGTGGCCATAGTTTTCCGCAGCGCAGTTTGTAGCTTTTCCAGATTATCCACAGCCCCCACCGAGTCCCAGGCCTCTTTGATGATCTTCGGTAGGTTCTCGTCACGCTCCCAGAAAACTTCATATCTCCTTGTTTTTGGTCCTGACCGCTTTGATTCTGGTTCACCTTTCAACACTAGGGCTATATGATCTGAACAAGGGGAGACAACATGCATAACATTGCAGTAAGGAAAAAGATTCCTCCATGCATTAGTCGTTGTTGCTCTATCCAACCGAACTTGAACATTGTTATTCTCGCTGCGCTTATTATCGTATGTGAAGGGGATCCCCGAGAACCCCAAGTCCACCAACTCGCAAACTTCCAGTGTATCTCACATTTGAGCCTTAGGTCTTGGTGTCGCTGACAAGTGCTCAAAATCCCAGAGAGCTTCGTTGAAGTCTCCCACTACTAACCATGGATGATTACTGGCATTCTTCAGGTTCTTTAGTTTTGTCCACATCATGTGTCTATTCTCAACCCTTGGTTCTCCATATACACACGTCAGTCTCCACTGCACTGAGTCCGGATTAACCCGCACTAGCGCATCGATGAAGCGATCATCCTTGTCCAAAATGTTGACGTCGCAGGATTCGTGCCAAAACATTGCTAGTCCACCACTCATCCCAATACTATCTACTCCTTCGGACCCCTTCAAACCAATTCTGCTCCTGATTCTCTTCATTTTATTTGTTGTTTGCCTTGTCTCGCATAAAAATACAAACGTGGGGGAATGCGACTGCGAGATGGTCGCTATCTCTTGAACTGTCCGGGTATTCCCCCCTCCCCGGCAGTTCCAACTAATAAGATTCATTGGGCTTGGCGGCCCTCCGTGCCGGAGGCCGCCGTACTTGTTACCATTAAGACATCCTCTCCTTCCACCAGATCTTCCCCCTGCTTCCTCCTCTTAACAATAGGCACCTTTCCTGGTGTAGCGTTTTGCAGGCCACCCGCACCATTGCCTTCCCTCCCGCTTCCGATCTCTAGCAACAACACTGTGTTTGAAACTTTCCCAGCAAGGTGCGACACTTGTTGCCCTCTAATACTCACTAAACCATCTGCATTAATGAGTCTCTTCCGAGCACTTTTACCTCCTTCTCCCCCGATTGGCTCATTAGGATTTTCCATAACGTCATCCCTTGAGTCATCACCCCCCCGGCCTCCTACTGCCCCAGTTCTCCCTCCTCTCTCACTCCTTCCTCTTCCACCACTCCTACCCCCTCCTTGACTAGCACCAGGATTTCCTCCTCCTCTTCCAGCTGCATTC